GGTAAATGTAAAAGAGGAACCACATGAATAAATGCGACGTTGTCTTCTCCAACTCTGTTCTGGAATTCATCTATTGCCTCTAGCCAAGTTTGAACGTCTGGTGGATCTATTTCTGCCCCGAGCTGTAAAAGACATTTTTTTATTTGGCAAATTCCTTTATTGTCAAAGAAGTTTCACTTAAAAAAATAGTGAACGGAATAGGAACCAACCTCTATTATACAGACATCCGCTCCTTTTGCTGCAGCCTCAATAAGTTCTTGCATTCGATCCGTTCCATCCCCAACTAATGTCACTGATCGCCCTAAAAACCCTCCAGCACGCTGTAATCCATGTTGGAATAAATTGAGATTTAATGTTGAAATTTGTATAAACTAGCAGAAAGAATTGAAAACAAACCTCTTTCTCGACGAGTCCGTGAAAGACTTGCCCACTAGTTATGTAATGTGATCCGGGCACTCCCGCATCGATAAATCGTTCATAATTGCCTATTTCTTCGACTACTGCACAACCGTCTCTTGTGACAAAAACGAATCCTAATAACATGAGATTTTAATTTTGGTTTCAGCTACATTATTATTCTTTTTTACCCGCTGACGCGTTCTTATGGCTTTCCTTATTATCTGAACAAGCGCAATTTATATGTTGGGGTTGACTTTCAGCAAATATTAAGGAAAACCTCACCAGGATCAAGATTTTTCCCGTCTAATTGTACATATGGTTCAATTTTAGCAGCTGTTACTTTCAATCCCTGTGCTCGCAGGAGTAGAGCTGTAGAGGCAGCGATTATGCCCTTTTGATAGCCTTCAATAATACCATAGGTGAAGAATACGTATTTTGTCATGTCGAAAATCTCGAGAATTCTCGCCACGCGACATCACATTTTTGATCGTACTGTGCAACTGTGTGGGAGTACAATTTTCGGAATATGGTTAATACTATTGCCATAAATTAAATCTAATAACTTTAAGTACTTAATGCTGTATACATAACCTGTAACCATTGTGCACTTATTTCTGTTCACTGCTATTTCGATGGCCTTAAAGCGCATATATTGAACAACTAACACGTAGCCAATCCGATCTCGATTATGATGTGTAATCAGGAAGAGTAAACGAGATAGGTCGTATATATTACAATTGCGGTCCTGTGTTACAGAGTTTAATTGAGACAAATAATATCTGATGGTCCGGAGACGAAGATAAGTGATTTTATTCTGCCATGGGAGGGAATAGTGTCCTTTTGCAATGTCAGACTCATCAAATACCCCGAGCATATCAGACAGATCAAGTACGGCCGATACAATCAATTCGCAAAACTTATCGAATACATCATTAGAGGAACTAGTCCCGCTGGCAGATGAGCGGACATTAAAAGTTGTCACTCGAGCGAACCAATATTTCGAGAACAAAAATTATAGGGCAGCATTAGGTTACCTATCCACAATATTTACACTGGTTTTTTCATTCTATGCAAGAAGGTGTTAAATAAATTATGCGTGCATGATTCTGTAGACGAGTATACCAAGGCTCTTACTCTATCTCAACCTAATCTCAACCCTCTCGAAAGTTCGGATTTTTCTGCATTACTTTTTTCCAAACGTAGTGCAACTTACTACTGCTGTCAGTTGTATAAGGATGCGGAGAAGGATGCTGCTCAAGTCATAAGGATAAGACCAGGATGGGCTGAGGTTAGGAATATGTGTGGGTGTTGCGTGAGATCGTTGGCGGTTGAAACTGGTAATGAACAACCGTGATTCTTTGATAGGGTTATTTTAGGCGAGCCGAAGCGTTGTTGGATATGGGTAAGTATGATGAGGCAATGGATGATTACGAGAGAGCTCGAACGAAAGATCCAAAGAATCCTCGGATTCCGTTGAAAATAGCCAAAGTGATGATACTAAAAGATAACATAGGAATGGGTACGTAAAATGTTACGACAATTAAATGGCGAATGATTTAATAATCCAAGCATTTGCTTGCAGGCCTAGCCGTGCATCCTCTCCTTCCAGGAAGAGATATATGTGTTAACAGAAATGCGTTAGTTACGCCAGTTCAAGCAAAAATCTTTGACTGTGCGATAGAAATGAAGAATATAATATATATTGTGGCAGACACGGAGACTCGAAAATGTGTCGTAATTGACGCAGTGAGTGTAATTTCCGAAGGTTTTTGGTGATAAACTAACATTCTCATCATATCATCATCATAATCATTCATCATTCAATTTTCTGATCCTTCTTATCTGTGTTGCATCTCTGCCTGGTGGGCTAAAGTGCTGGGACGTCGATGGCATTGCGAGGTTTATCAATCAACATTCTTTTACTCTGACCGGGGCTATCCTCACTCACTATCATTTTGATCATGTGGGTGGGTACCCTCCGCCGCCATATGACTATATTCCTATCAGAGTACCTGGGTTGTACACACTGCTCAAACGATATCCCGAGATCAGGGCCTACGTTCATCCTCAAGACCTTCCATATATTCTTGAAGCTAATCCCTCACTATCCTCCTACGAGTCCAGGATCGTTCATACGCATAGTCATTATATTCTACAATTGGGCGCATCTACCTTATTGAGATTCATGCATACTCCAGGGCATACGCCTGGCAGTCAGGTGATATTAGTTAATCAGACAAGGTTGTTTACCGGCGATACTTTAATGGTCGGAAGTTTTGGAAGAATAGATTTGCCTGGTGGTGATATGAATGAAATGAACAAGACTCTCAATGAGAGATTAGCGAGATTTGAAGATGGAATTGTTGTGTATCCCGGACATGACTACGACGGCGATTGGACGACAATAGGCATGGAGAGGGCGAAGGGAATAGTAGGAAAGATTGTATTATAGTGTAAATTATAATTTGCTCAGAGAGATGGGGTTTTTGACACACCTAATTTTTGATTAGCGGACCATAAGTTTCCTTATGACGCCATAACAGGATAGTTCGCATTTTTTGAACCTTGTAACTATGGCTTGCTTGATCGGGATAGGAACAAACAATTAGGTGACAGCAAATAACGATATTTAATTCAAATTCTAAGTGATAACTGAAACGCGTGGTCAAAACCGTGAATGAAGGATGGCATTTTAGTCCAGAGTCCGTGACGTTCAGACATATTCAGACTCTCATGACAGTCATGTCCTCTCACTTCCTTGGTACTTATCTTTTTATCATACTCCCCTGTATCTAGTAATATAGGCCTCTTTGCACCCTCCCCCCCATTGCGATGATAGTAGCTGCCTATACATTACTAATATTTCTGTCAGTAGTCAGAAGGTATCACTGAGATACCCAACTTAGTGTACAAATCTCCACTTCCACACAGCTGAACCTTGTTCCAAATACTATTAATACACTGGAAAAATCCCGTGAATATACAACATACCTGATTTCAGGTTGCGGGGTCTATCCACTCCACTTCTAATATCCACAATTGCATGATGCTTAGCACATTTCAGAATTGAACCATACAGCCCGTCCTCCTTCATCTTCTCTCGGTGCTTTTCACCATCTCGAACTAGCTCTATCATCCATTCATGTTCGTCATCAACATAGAAGTCCATCCAGCCCTCTGAAGCAAAAACAGCGCCAACGTCTGGAGAAATATGTACATCCTTTGGAAGCAGTTGCCTTGCTGCATGGTAAAACTCCATTTGCCACACTCTCTCCAGCAGTCGACCACACAAAGGGTTTCCTTGAAAGTCTCTGGGCTCATTAATTCGAATGTGATAAAATCTTCGAAAGAATTTGTTAAAGTGTGTACAGGGGTTCTCGATCCAATACCAAGACATTCCTGAAGATAAGCTGCACGGACTAGTGGTGATGTGAAGTCAAGTTCCTATTTCTCAACTGATATTCTTGACGGAAATCTGAAAGAACATTTGTTTTGATCAGACAGTCTGCAACTGCACTGCGAGTGTCAATACCACCAGGTCAGAATAAGACTTTGTCAATAAGTTGTCGTTCTTCTTCAGATGTCACCATGACTTTTTGACATGCGCGTGTCCGCTATAATAAATGTAAAATGGAGTCTAAAATCAGAAACTATTAAATATAAATTTCAATCATCACTCACCTTAACACCTTGATAGAAATCATCTGTTTAAAAAATTTGAATATTTTCTCGAATGGCAACGGCTCTACACCTGGTTTAGCTGCTCCACGATATCCGTAGGAGGCAAACGCAACGATGTGGAGACCACTGCCCTGTAGAACTCTATTGCCTGTGTCCCAAAACCTGTCACCACCAAATAGACAGGTTGGCAGACCTTCTGGATTGTACAGCACCTGAATTTCATCCATGATCAGTATTGTTTGTACTTGCGGACAAAGGTAACCCATGACACCCTTCCCATATAATCCTAAAAGCGCTATGCAAAATCCCAGTTTGTTCCCTCCTTCCTCAGCCATACGAGTGACATCCGAAATATACGTAGTTCATTATGTTTAGTGAGCAAGTAGTTCTCATAGAGTTGTGGAAGTGACGTCTTTCCAGACATTGGGGCGAGCGCATGAGCAAGAATCTTACATTCTGAAGGTAATTGTGTAACTTGGTTACCTCTTTATTATTCACATCGACACCTTCAAAGTTTGTAAATGCCTCTCCCGATAAGTAGTGCCACAGATTCCTCCTATAAGAGATAGTTTAGATGAAATAATTTACACATCCTTCAGAGCGACGATACGAAAAAGCATTTACCTAATCTCAGAGTATAACCGAACTGTTCCCTTAGCCTCTGTGGCCTGGATCGGAGAACCTAATGCAGAAATATATTATTAAAATGTAGACTTCAACGTTGCGTCTTTTCACGCTATGCCAGCAGTGCGTGTTGTAACAGCATTCAAACTATTCTTCCTCCATTGCTCCTACTCTACTTAACCCAAACGTATCATATCCTGCTTATCTGCCTTTCAAACGAATTTATGTATAACCTAACCTTTGCTACGACTCTGCTCTATGTCCCAGCCCCAACGCGTGTAATGCATTTCAACTATCCTCCCAATAAACGCGTATTCTTAATGATCTCGTCATCCGTAGCATTTGTTCTTCTTTATGGAAGCAAAAAACAAATCAGGAACGTCCACGGTAAGTTGATAATGCAAGTGACGCGATTTGTTACCTTGTTTGAGATTTTGTGGATATTCAAGGGAAAAGTTATCGTTTATTTACATGTAAATATTCCCCATGCTCGAAAAATTTTATAAATGTATTTTTTGGTAAATAATCGGGGGGTTATAACACACGTCATGTTTGAAAGTTACCTGTTATCGTTATAACTGCGACAACGTGTTTGCTCAACGTGTAATAAATTTTATTTAAATTTGAGAATTAGGATGCATCATAATTCCATTTATGTCTAAACTGGCACTTTTTACCCGAACTAGGGTAAAAAGTCTGTATAACAGGTTTATTGCATATTTCTCCTTTTCAGGATATCTGTCGGGATGTGCTATTCGTAATTGGGCAATGTCATCCAAACGTTGAGAAGAAATAATTTCGGTAGTTAAACTTGTGTTGCAACTGATTTTTGGTTAGTTTATCCGTGGTTGGACTCGCATTTAAGTATCGTTATTATTGTTATATCACGGCTTTCCATTAAACTTTATACGTTCTCTTAACCCGTTGAAGTAAGAGCGAATGTTACCAAACTTGGCTAGCGCAAAATGTCATTCACTACTTTGCGTTGCACAGGTTTTGCCAAGAGTTCAAGCAATTTGTTAGTAAGCTTGCTTCATGTGTGGAACTATTGACAAGCTATTCTACATTTGATAGTCTCAACACCTGTTGAAACATAAAGGCGTTCTTTGTGATTCAAATATGAAGCGCCAAGAAAATTATTTGATCCCTGCATCCTTGATTATTATTATTATCGGAAATTAATCTCCAAGAAAATATGGTCAATTCTGTAAGTTTAAGCGCGACCAATGACCAGCAGCAAATATTATGACACTGATAGCTTTTTAGGTAATATTATAAAAGTATGTGTCTCGCAAATAAAGTAATTTTACATTGCATACAGTCGATCCTCTTTATCTCTATAAGCACATCATATAAAACTTTTTTATATACAGTGGGTAGACAAAAGTCTCCGGACAGTTTTGTACTTAAATTTTCTCGAAAACTTACATAATAATTGGGCATGAAATTTTAGTTTGAGTTTGATGTACCAATATTGTTTTATTAATATTTAGTTGGCCATCCCTCGCTTGTGATGCAAGCTTGCACCCTCTTCGACATACTATTTATTAGATTTAGATATGCACATTCCGGGATTCGCTCCCATTCCTCCTTCAAGGCCGTAATTAATTCACCTTTGTTTTTTGGCAATACTTCCCGTTTGCGAATACGCCTGTCCAATTCATCCCATAAATGTTCGATGGGATTAAAGTCAGGCGATTGGGATGGCCAATTACTAAGCATTTTAATATTGTTTTGATTAATCCAATCGGTAACATCTTTGGCTCTATGAATAGGCGCGTTATCTTGTTGAAAATTATACCCTTTACCTTTGAAGTTTTGCTGAATATATGGTAATAAGACGTTTACACCAGTAGCACTCGCAAACTTTTTTGAATACGAGTAGCTGTATTGCGCTGGTTTTTTTGCACAATCTTTTTGAGCCTTTTTTGCTATCGATGGTCGACCAGTCCTTGGAAGACTGGTAACCGTTTGATGTTGTCCATATCGCTGAATCGTATCACTTATCGTGGATATCGGAATTTGAAGAACTTCACTAATTTTTCGAATGCTAAGATTGCTTTTCCGTAACCCAATAATTTCAGATCGCTTAAATTCTGAGAGTTCCATTGTAACCTTCTTTATGCCAGTTGATATTAAAGTAGGTTTCGAAATAATATTGGAAAAAGTGAAGTAGCTATTTGTTTATGATAACAACGTTTCGAATTATAAACAGAGACCTACATTACGCGTCACCAAAATTTCGTGCCCAATTATTATGTAAGTTTTCGAGAAAATTTAAGTACAAAACTGTCCGGAGACTTTTGTCTACCCACTGTAATTACAATTAAAATTGTAGGAAAACTTTTACACAGCACAACCTCTTTATAAGCACATAGTTGTATTATTCTTGACAGCGTGACTATAAGGAGGATTGATACAGAGCATAACACGTTCAATTTAAATAACGTAGCTTTGAGCAACAAGTAAACGCAATTTGTCAACCTTCATACTTTGATATCGACTTTTCGCTTGTGTAAAATGTGGGTTTATCGAATGCAAAGATTATATATATATATTTTGAATTAAATTGTAACTGTTGTTGGCAAAAAAAGATTTCAAAGTCAATTATATGAGGAATTTCAAGAATTTTTCAATGCCCAACTGCAAGCAATGGATGGTGGAGAAGTAAGTAATAGCAGACGCGTAAAACAAAGCGCGTAGTAATACAAACCTATTTTTATTGCAATACACCACTTTGCCAGAAAATGGTCCCATTTATTGGAGACTGTTAGATTTATCGGTCGAGCGAGGCGAAATTTCCCGTCGATTACGTATTGACATTTGTTAATTTAACATTATTCTCCAATGGTTTGAATTTTACTATAAACTCGAGGAGAATCTGTCTTTGAACTTCCTAAGCACTTGCGTTTTGGTGCAAATGCTCGAACTCTACTAAATAATGTTTAAAAATGCCTTCTCTATTTCCGAAATATACGTCCAATATTGCAACGTGAAACAATAACTGTCGAGAAGTATGTACAGTAATCAAGAGAGGACAATAAGTCTTCGATTTGTTGATTGGAGTGTTCTTCGGCAATATTTCACTATTAATCGTGTGGTAATGCACGACACCCATAAATATTCGACAGTGAATCTAGATACAATTAGTAAGACAACGCTTCAACACGTCAACACACCCTCACACCCTCCAAACGATAGTAATTGTTATATAATTAAGTCGTTTCCTAAACCTAAATACCGAATCTGTGCGAGTATAACTCTATTATTGTACACTTCCTAATGTACGAACAAAACTCAAGGTTGACACATTTTCGTCTACGGAATTAGACAACCTTTCTGTAAACATTCTATTTTATGATCAGTTAGACAGCTTCTTATGCCTACTTGTCGCTTTTAATTAATGCTTCCTTCTCAATATCCGACTTGATGAAACCAACTGTTTGTGTATACGTCTTCTGGTCCAACGGTCCAACAAAAGGCTTATTGTAAAATCAAAATTTTGCATAGTAAGCTAATTTTCAGAACAAATATATTGATATGCGTTCTAGTTTTTTTAGAGCAAGCCTTCATAAGACGACCTGTAGTTGGGCATACGTAATCAACGAGATTTTTAATCCGCTGATACAATGGATCAAACTTATAGAGACAGAACGCGGAAAGTACTTTCGAAGTAATTCATTCCACATTATATAATTTAATCGACCCAATCCTTTACCTACAGTCTTCCTTTGCGAATTCATTATTTATAGACTTTATAACCATGCACGGTAGCTCTATTGTTTACTCACCATTATCTTTCTCAAACATTGAAGTCATTCTTCTTTCATAGATTTTTTCCACACGAAAATCAAATTCTTTTTGAGCCAACTCAGAGAAATTCATATCTTTGTGTGCGAGATGTGGTTTATGCTGTGTGTAGAAAACGAGCGCAACCCCAGACGGAGACAGACATGATTGACATGTAGAGAGAAGGGCATTGTGTTGTGATATCAGATCAGAAACTATTATCAGATCGAATAGAAGTGAGAATTGCTTGAAATGAGATTCAAGAAGGATCGGGTATCTTTGCCCCAAATAATGGCCCTGAAGATAATAAGTGTAGGTTGAAAGGTGGATAAAATGCAGATGATAGACGTAATTACCATAACGGCAAACTTTTCGCGTTTTTGTGAATTGGAAAATATGTTAGACAGATTATACTTCAATATTTATATTGTCTGGATCGAGGTAAAATAAGAGTGTGGCAACATAGACTGCATCAAAACCAGATAACATGGAAGTAACTAAACTGGCTGATGTAGCTGATTATGATAACATTATAGACTTGTTAATTTTAATGTTAAATTTATCACTATTATGCCAAAATGTGACTAACTTTAAAGTTTGCCAGGATAAAGGCAATTATTATCTATTACTATAAAATATGCACATAAAACTAACTTATTATTATTATTATTCTTATTATTATTAAGTCGTCCTGCATGATTCCATAATGAAGATACAAAAATGGGAGAGTGCATTCTCAATGGACCCTTGATAATATTCATGGTATGGCAGAATTATACCAACGTGAAAGTAATTGTTCCAAGTGTTTAGAGAGAAATTTTGTTAACGATTTGGAGAAGAGTCAAGAAGAATAATAATTTTTCTGCTCTGAAAACTTTAGCCTTCAGCATGCAAGGATTTATTTATATCAACATACACTGTTGATTTTTCGTGACTTCATCTTTAATTAGTATTGTTAATCAGATAAGTAAGTCATGTGATATAATCTTCCATTAATTTAGTAGTAATACGGCGTAACGCATTTTCTGTCAGTCGGCGTGACGAACGCTATAATTAACTTAACGTATTATTTGTTGTTAGAAAAATCATACGATTATTCCATTAATTTTCTTGACAAATTTTCCGTCGCGGTAAAGATATATAAGAAGTCGAATTCCATAACCGAAATAGCATGTTTGAAATGTTCGACATACTTGGTATGTTTTATTGTTGAAATATCGCATAGATCTTTATTCAATAACTACTAAAAAATAGACAACTTTGAAATTGAATTACTTTCTTTCTTCCATCGTTCTGATTGACTGGATATACTTTTAAAACTGTGCTCAGACAAAAGCTGTAAGGTTTCGGCGTAAACGGCTCATTTAAACTGTAAAATATTCGTTGATCAATTACGCGAATAGCCAATTAATATGTTGACGATTAAATACCAATAGTACTAGAGTTATGAGTTAACCTACTACTATATAAACACTATATTCTAGCAATGGTTGGTTTGAAGAAAAAAAAGTATAGAAAAAACTATGCATATTATAAAAAACCCCTATTTCTATACAAATATCAAGTATGGCGGGGTTAAACAAAGCTCACGCTCTCATTTTCTTGAAAGTGGGACATACACTATCATTAATGAAGGTAAGGCAATTCGCGTTCTGACTTGGCTTTTCTTGTTGATAATGGATATTTCCTGTTAGTAGGCATGGTGATAAGCGACGAGAACGTTCTTGGCCACCTTTATTAACGGGGCGAAGCATATGTATTATAAAATCTGGGCATTAGCCAATTCTTGGCAGATTGAAGATGACGTAATATACTATAGCAACATATCATACTACCGAATTAGGGGTCATCCATGTGTGCCAAATAAAGACCTCACTATCGAGAATTGGAAAACCCTAAATTGAACTAAAGGATAACACAAAAACGCACATGGAACATGGCTAAAATTAGAAGAACGGATAAACACAAAGTGAAGCACAAAGAATGAAAAAACTTGATCTGTTTTGTTGACTATGCTTAGCGTTCTTGAATTGTTAGAAGCACAGACCAAAAGGAATGACAAGACAGTTGAGCAATGTGTTATACAACATGCAGGCATTGGAATATGGGCGTTTTGTGGGCTTTACAAAATTTCCTATTAAATTGTAGTCTTTATTAAGACTGCCACATAATGTGAAACTCCCATATAAATGACTAAATGAACATGCAGACTAACGCTACGTTTAACACAATACGCTATATTGGGTTTTGAAGTCTCACTTGTGTCACTGTTATAATATACGGAACAATGTCCGTCTATATATTACTTTCGGGAATCATCTTTTACTTATTGACTTTATTTCGCGTGTTAAACAAATTAGTATTCAATCGCGAATGACCCAGTCGGAACCATGAGCAACATTCATCGCAGAAATGCTGTTGGCGATTCTCTGCTTTCTTCGACTCCATCTACCAACTCGATTATAGCTTCTAGCACTCATGGTAAGTCTACTTGTGAACAAAAGAGCAACTATTGTCTCCATGACTCATCACGATCTCACGCAGCCTCTTCGTTAGCACAGACTGACCAGAACAAGGGTACTGGCTCCGATACCGAGCCGAATGCAGGCTCTTTTTCTTCACTCAAAACAAGATTTGAACAACTGTCTCAACAACCAGCCAGTACGTCGCTAGGTAGGGGATCTACCACTAATAGGAATCGTTCTGTAGCCGATGCCTTTGTTCCGCAACGACAGCAACCACAGCAACGACAACCACAGCAACAATCGTTGCAACCACAACAGCGACCGCAGCAACAGCAGCAAGAGATAGTTGATCAGACGTCTGATTCACAAAGTTATGAATACGGAACTACTCGCAAGACGCCAATTTCTAAAGTAGCGTCTGCTATAAATACATTAAATTCTTTGCAACGACAAAACCAGCAGACTTCAAGGACAACCACGCCACCGCCTCCGTCTACACAAGCTGTTGCAGGGTCGACTTTGCAAAACACAAGCAATTTATTGACTCCCGCAAACCATCTGGAAAACGTTAAATCACCGTCCTTGACGCCTTCACAACATGTCAATATTGTCGCTCCCAAACCATTAGCTTCACATAGCACAAACAAAATGCCGCCACAAAAGACACCGACTTTACCACCTCGTCCTCAAACTGCTGATTCGGTCACACGCCAGATTGTCAATCCTTTTGAAGACCCGTTCGCCGATGAAAATGATGTAGATCAACATGGAACTGAGGATAATCATGAGGACATTTATGTCAACGGGCTATATAATAGATCTTTCTCAGAAAAACACCACAGGTTGCAACGTCCCGCTCCGCTACCGATCGAATCTTCATTATCACCATCACGAGTCGCAGGCACACTGTCTTCTCCTTTCGGAGACGATGCGGTAATCGATGTCCATGAGCGGCCAGCATCTAGGACTTCATCAAAACCATCTCTTCCAACTAAACCTCCGCGCTCTGCCGAAACGCTGATTGAGTTAGATGAAAAACACAGCTCGAGACACAGCTCGAGACACAATCGTAGTAAATCGGATATAAAACCTGCTTTACCGCCGCGGCCATCGACACGCGCTGTTTCAAATAATGAAAAGAAAGACGATAGATCGATATCTTTTCACAAGACGGCTCATCAATCGTCCGAAAAGCTACATCGACCACCGGCTCTTCCGCAACGAGCCGATCCCGAAAATTATCGGGCAAAGTCTCGTCTTACTGTCGCATCATCACAGTCTCGTCGAGACCATTCGGGGTCGGACTTGTCGGATGAATCATCATCTCCAAATGTGCCATTAGGTGGTCTTGGAAAACCAGATTCTTCTCATGTAAACCGATGGGCTCCGCGCTTTAACGATGTAAAAGACATTAATCCCAAGAACAAACACACACCGAAATCATTTGCCATTTCTGGTGATTTGGTGGTTACCGATGGTTCTTCTAGTATGCGTATATGGAAATTACAGACGGGAGAAAATGTACGCTCTATATCACACGATCAGTCGAAAGTGACAGCGTCAGTGTTCAAACCTACTAGACAGATAGAAGACATTGGACGCTATCTATGGTGTGGCACATCCGATGGAACTCTTTTTGTTGTGGACGTTAGCATGAGTACCGTTATAGAGACGACGTCAAAGGCTCATGATCACTCTGTTAATTTTATACTTGTTCACAACCGCCAATTATGGACAATTGATGATAATGGTAGATTAAACATTTGGTCAGAAACTAATCAGAATGAACCTACTCTCAAGTCAACGCCACGCTCACTGTCCGTTGCGAATAAACAGACTTGTGCATTAATAGCAGACAACGATCTTTGGATGGGGGCTGGTAAGTCTATTGAGGTATACAGCTTTGCTGGTGGTCAAAGTGGCTCTAACATGGTCTCGCAGGTTATGGATGTTGGATTTGAATTAGGAGGTGTGACCTGTATGACTCAGACCAACGATGCGTCACTTGTATATGTTGGTCACGAGAATGGAATGATGACCATCTGGAATGCTCAAACGAAGGATAAGCTGTCCGTTGTGCAAGCGTCAATTTATTGCATAACATGTTTGTTGGGTGTTGGCGATTATTTGTGGGCCGGTTACAAGACTGGAAAAATATACATTTACGACGTCAAGAATAAAGATTCATGGGTTGTTCTCAAAGAATGGCAGGCTCATAAATCGCCAGTAATTGATATGAAATTAGATGAAGATGCATTATGGCGACTTGATAGATTACAAGTCGGTAGCTTGAGCGACGAAGGACAAGTCTCTGTCTGGGATGGTCTGTTGCGATCTGATTGGCTTAGTAAGTAGATTATAAATTATTTTCGTGCATTCATTATTTTGTATTTTTTCATACACTGAACTTACATGTCTATCCACATCGTTCTCTTAAAGCAAACCAAATGGCTTTACATGAACAAGAGTACTGTACGTACCGTAATATAACGATTTTAATCTGTTCGTGGAATATTGATGCGTCAAAGCCGCCTGACCTTGAAAAATATGCCGATGACGCCAAGTTTTTGAGGCTTTGGTTCACAAGCGCCTCTTCGCCGGAAATAATTGTTATCGGTTTTCAAGAAATAATAGACCTGGAGTCTAAGAAAATGACAGCAAGTGAGTGGACATCGGACACTATTTCATATATTTAACATATGACGAACATTATTCTAACTTGTGCTTCTATCGCAGAAACGATGTTGATGTCCAAGAAAAAGGCAGACAAACAGATGAACGAGAACATTACTCAGAGATACCGTCTTTGGCGTGATAGGCTAGTTAAAGCTGTCCGAGAATACTCGTCTGCCAAATACACTCTAAAAGTGTCAGAAAATCTTGTTGGTCTTTTCTCGCTTATTTTTATTAAAGAGTCAGAAGAAAAATCGCTCAAAGACATTTGCGTAAAGAAGTGCAAGACGGGTCTAGGAGGGTATCATGGGAATAAGGTGAATATTCTGAAAATTTAGCCGGAGCCATACAATTAATATATTCGCAACAAAGTATTCTAAAGACTCTTATTTATTAGGGAGCCATTGCTATGCGGTTTGTCTATGATGATTCGTCCGTATGTTTTGTAAATTGTCACTTGGCGGCCGGACAAACGAACGTTACCGCTCGTAACAACGATGCACAAAAGATACTTGAAAGCATAGAATTGGAGTCTTTAGCCAATGACCTTGATAGAAACACTCGCAACGAATATGGCCAGGTCTTCGTTGATGGTGGGAATGGTTCCATGATCACTGATCACGAGATTTGTTTCTTTAGTGGAGATCTTAACTATAGGATAGACGTTCCCCGAGAGGTGGCTATCAATAAGATAAACAATGAGGACTTTGATTATCTCCTTGAACACGATCAATTGATAAAACAACGCATAAAGAATCCGGGCTTCCGATTAAAGTCTTTTAGTGAGGGTCGTATTACATTTGCGCCTACTTACAAGTATAACCCCGGCGAGGATGTGTATGATACATCAGAGAAAAAGCGTACGCCCGCATGGTGTGACCGAATACTGTACAGGGGCAAATGGATAAAATTATTAAATTATCAAAGATACGAGTGCAAGGTGTCTGATCATCGACCGATTAGTGGGACATTCCAAGCGAAAATCAAGACAATTAGGAAAGAAGTTCGTGCAGAAGTAGAAGATGAAATCAAAGGCCAATGGAAGGAGTATTTAGAGGAGGAAAAGAAGGCTAAAAAACTGTTGTGGCTTGTTAGGGCTGGGTGTGATATAGAAGAAGCTCGTAAAGCATTAAGAGAAGGTCGAGGTAACATGCATAAAGCCATTAATAGATTAAACAAATCGAACTCACGATAGAAATATTTAGATAATTATCAACCTTTAATTTATATAAACTAATTCATAATAGAAAAGAGAAAGTTTTTATATCTACGAAATCCGTGAGTGAGATTGCCATCAATTTAATAACTATACGCTTGCGTCATTTGTATATTATCTGTCTTTGCACCCTTATATTATATCAAGGGATTTACCAAAATGAAGCAAACTTTGAATGCGTTAATCACGCGCTGACACAAAAATCAATAATCATGTGTACATGACGTAATATAGTATGCCCATATACACGTTATTTTGGGTTACATAGTTTTATATATTTTTGGACTGTGCAAGCGCGTGTTCACGTTCTAAACGTCTAAATTATGAGCCCACACGGAGTTGTTTCAAAATTGACCGGTAAAAAGGCTACATACCATTTCCCTCAATCTCGGGCGCGTCCGGCGCGCAATCGACAAAAAAAATTTTTCGCGCTTGCTTATTCAGTTAAGTAATTTTCATGTTGTAATTGCAAAAGTAGAATAGCGTTAACGGTACCCTACGTCTCTATGGCCTTTCGCCCTTTTGCCGATGCTTGGAGTAGTAGTATATACCGCTATGACTCGTTACATGATTATTGTAATGGCTTTTAGCGCCAACGCCTGGCCCTCTTTTCCAGTGTACTATACTGTTAAACGCACGATAATAATATTCGCTTTCATCTTAATTATCTTCCAAATCACTAACAATGCATCTTTTTAGATATGGACTTTTACCAACACATTTTAACTTTTATATTGGCCCTGAATATAAGGATTGGAATGTTCTAAGCTGCCTTAACCATCTGAAGGATTATTATCATATTACATATACCATTTACGTCCGATAGTAAACAAGAGATCTTAGACGCGTTTATAAGTGCCTTTAAGGAGATTAGTGAGGCTGATATGGTAAAATCTAGGAAAGCAACCAAGGCGAAAAAATATATACAGTAATGCCGATGACACTTTTCGAAGAAGAGAGGTTATTGAATTTTTTTGAAAAACTGGATCAAGAGTTTGATGTGGTAAACAATTTATGGTTTTGGCCTATAATATGTATTAAAAGTATTAATTTATTATGCATACATTCATAGAGGCAAAATGAATGGGACTTGAGAAGTCTGTTGATAGGATGGATGTGAACTTTTAAAAAAGTTTGGTAATTTCAATGCACTGAAACTTTCATCGCGTTATGCAGAAGAGTCAGCAGAACCGCTTGAAAAAGTATTATCAGTAATTTTATTTGTGCTTTCTGAATCTATTACTATATACTTGCTTGTACTCGTCACATTTAATTTCAAGCTTTAGGAAAGTTGTTATTTTTTAAGAAAAAAAAACAAAGTATTGATTGCCAATGGTTTCTTGTCCTTTATTAGACGCAACTAAGCTGGACCTCTAAAGCTGCTTCTGTCATTGCCAATGGATGATTCATTCATTGGGGATAAAGAAGAAGAGGACAACATTAGTGTCATTATTATTAATAATTTAGATGAACGGTGCTTTGAAGAGAGTGACCCAGCAAATGATCTTATATAGGAGATGATATGTGTCTCAGTTATTCTGGCGTATCAAAATGAGTCATTAAAGACCGCAAAGACTAGTGATTTAAATGTTGAATCAAATGCGCATGAAATGTTGTCTCTGTCTTTGATATTTCTTCTTCCTCCAGGTTCTTACCCAAATATGATAATTTACATATTTAGTTCTTCTTTACTTATTACTTGATAAAATACACAAAAAAAATAGTCTTGACACAGCCAATGGAATTAGACTTCAAATGTAATTAAAATTCAGGAAATGACAAAGAAAGCAATAAAGGAGTCACACGAGTGTGCTGTTGACTGGCTGTGGTCAGAACTTTCAAATGATCAGATCCTAAATATCTTTACTTAACCCCATTTTTTCCTTCTTTATTTTTTCTTCATATTCAATCGGTTAATAACTGAGCAGTATCTTGAAGGAGTGTTTTATCCAAAGTGCCATTTGGTTTTAAAAAATTACTATCAAAGATAACCTTTTCTTCAGGTTTAAGAGCTTCTCCATGATAATTTGAGTATTCTTTTGCCTCATTTTCGGTGTTAATATCATTTTTATTGAATTCCATAATTTCAATTCCTATTATATATTTTAATATTAAAAGATTAAATCATAAAGAATTTAATAGTAATAGAAACAAAAAAACCTAATAAATTAATAAAATTTGCGGTTGACTGAAATGTTTTTATTCATTATCAGTATAGGTTGGTCTTGGACAAGTAATATCCTTGAATTCGTCTCTAACAAATGGGCGAATATTATGATAAAGATATCTTGCCTTTTATAATCCAAAAGAGGGGCAGAGTTAAAACTAAAATAGAAAAAAATTTAATTTCCTTGGTAGTTTCAGAAACATTTGCTTTTCTGGTTTTCAATAAATTAAATTCGGTATACGAACCATTAGCAACCAGCTGAGCCTTGACAATACCAGGTTTGGCTGCTTCGAATACAAAATGCTGATATTTTTGTAAACCA